TACCACATCTACATGTGTCACAGATTAGCAGCCGCCTACCTGTTTACCCCTTTTCCATGTATAAGAATACCTCGCATGCAGTAATGAATTAGGCAATGCAACCCTCAGTGTCATGAATCCTGCTCACTTGGGCACCTAGACCTGATTGAATACACTGCCTCAGCACTGTACTCAATAAGATCTGGTGATCCTCAGGCATCTTGACAGTATCGTGCAGCACGGGCACACAGCAAGCGTCCATTTGCTACCAGAGCTGCCCATCACGGCGCTAATGGCAGCGGGACTGTGTTTTGTCATGCAGACATCCGCCAGGATCTCCTCCAACTGGTGCCTCAGCTCCGCATTTTCCTCCTCCAGCTCCCGCGTGCGGCGCAGCCAGTAGTTGGGCCGCTCCGCGTTCGCGTGCATCTCCAGAATATCGTCAACTCGAAAGAGAATGGAGGGGTACACGCAAGGCTGTCCGACAATAACAGCATCTTTCACTCTGAGGAGGCCCGGCTTGACTTCGGCCACCTCCCTTTTGAACTCCACTTCCCCAGCGGACTGGATTGTCACGCGTGCGCCGACGAAGTGTGCCATGTTGTTTGCCAACGCTGCAAAGGAGATAGTGCCGGCAGCGGCAAGGGGGACGGCTACGGCAGCAGCACAGGGCTTGAGCCAAAATGGCTACGGTTCAGGGTTTAGGGCTTCAAGGCTTAGGGCTTAAGATTGTGATGGTCTGGCACGAGGATCTGCATGCTGGATCGCAGGCATTCATAAACGATTTTCGAGCACCGAATCTCGAAGAATCTGTGACAACACCAACCCCTGTAGCAGTATCATCTGAGAAAAGCCGACCTCTTGAACCACAGGGGTTCAATGCAGAACCCAAGACTTGCGGGAATATACTGAAATGATAGACAAAGGACTTTCGACTCCTCCTCAGTCACACCTCTACAAAACTTCTTCACAACCTTGTTCTTAGGGGCCATTTGGTTCTCAGGTCGTACGCTCCTTGGGACCCTTTAACCCAAAGTTCAAAACCAAATCCGTAACTACATGGCGTAGGATTATACGGTAGGTTTTGAACCTATGGTCAAGTTACAGAGTAACCATCAAATTTCTGCGACGGTGGGCCTTGGCCAAATGGTCAATGTACCTGAGGAAGCGCCACAGTGCCCAAAAGGCAGTTCGAGGGAAGCTGAACCCCTGGCTGTGCTTTTTGGATTTAGAGCTGCAGATAGTTCAAGCACACATAAGACATAAGGAATCCTTAGAACCTAAATGCAGGTTTTATGGGTTCCGACATCTTACCGTTGAAACGTGCGCTAAGTTCCGGAATCAGGCGCAGGCGCAGTTGCCTAGACTTTTTCTCCTCCAGCTCTCGACGGTATGTCTGTAGGATTCTGTGGGTGCGCAAAACTGAAGCGTGCACAGATGTACAAACGAATTGAATACGACTTAAGGAAATGAAGAAACGAATGCAGAAATGAATGGATAAATGAACGAATGGCTAAACGAATGAATGAATGAAGGGAGGGATGAATCGATGGACGGCTGGATGGATGTGATGGATGTGATGGATGTGATGGATGTGATGGATGAATGGATGAATGGATGAATGGATGAATGGATGAATGGATGAATGGATGAATGGATGAATGGATGAATGGATGAATGAAGGAAGGAAGGAAGGAAGGAATGAATGAATGAAGGAAGGAAGGAATGAAGGAATGAACAAATGAACGAACGAACGAAGGAAGGAAGGAAGGCAGGACTGACTGACTGACTGACTGAATGAATGAATGAATGATGGAGAGTGCAGGAACGAATGAAGGAATGCATCCATCAAACGAGCCAGCGAATGAATGATATCTAGCTGAAACTAGCTGGTATGTAGATAGATACATCGATAGACAGCATGGCCGAGTGTATGTTCCCTGCTGCAAAGCTGCATGCCTGCGTCTATATACACTTCAGACATACATGCATGCATGCATTATACATGACGTGCATACACGCCTGCCTGTCTGCATGCATATCGTCCGTCCATCCAACGATGCTAGATGTGCACTTGTGTAAGCCCAAGGAGGTGAAGGAATCTTTGCTTCCAGCTTCGACTTACTGACTTACTGCTCTTTCCCGTGTTCTTGTTAACGACATCACAGGTATATGACGAATGATACGGCTTCCGAACTACAGTCCCTGACACCCTCTTCGCGAGAAGCTAGTTTCTGCGGCTCAGCCGCAAGATGTGGACCAAAATCCGCGGCAGTGCCTCACAAGTGGGAGGGCAACGGGAGACTTTGAGGAGTTGTAGGGTTTAGTCGTTTAGCTTGACGGTTTGACAGTTTCCATTCACCTCATAAACCCTGAACCCGTAAGCCTTGTGTCAATCAATGCGTAGCGGACTTCGTAACTATGTTCAAATTGGGGGCGCCTGTAAGATGACTTCCATTCGGATGTTCAAAAACTGTTTATGCCACCGGGTCTAGCCTTCTTACTATTTCAGTCCCCTGTGTGCCCAACCCTATCACACACCAGAACAACCCGCAGAATCCGATAAAGCCATGTCAGCCACCATAACTGCCAACCACCATAAGACCCTTCAAAACCCCTCGTCAACCCCTAAACCCTAAACCCTGAATTCTGGTCATAGCTGCCGGCCTGCGCCCGAAGCCCGTGGATCCCAGTTTCCAGGCGCGAGGAGGGCCCAGAGCCTCCCGAGAGCACATCCAAGAAGTTCATGTGCTTGGGTGTGAAGCTGGGGTTTGGGGTTTCGGGCTGGGTTTTTTGTACACGACCCTTTTTCGGCTTCGCAGAGTCCGAGAAGCGGGATTTCCGCTGGGCGTCTGACAACAAAGGTCTTAGACCAATCACTTCGACACAGCTTCCAAAAAGGGGGTTTCGACTCGCACACTCGCTCACGCAGGCACGGCTTCCGGGGTCCATTGCTACCGTTACTAGTGTCGTAGCCAAAGCACATCACTATCAACACACAATAGCCAATAAGGTAAATAGAGGGACCCAAGGTGATCTAAGCAACATACTACAAGACACGGATGATGTGCCAGGCTGTTCTGTGCAGCTTTGTTAAGCGAGGGTCAAGCAACAGGCATATATAAAAGAGTGTCTACACAGTACAGGAACACCCCAAAGCTCGCATAACACTGCACTGGTTCAGAGCATCGTTGTGCTCAGATCACTGACGTTCTACTACAGACTACAGCGACTGTTTCAAAAGGCATTCAGGTCTCCGCTCGATATGTCGACAGCATGCACGTTGCAGTTGGCAGAGTAAATCACTCACGAAGATGGCTGAGGGCTGAGCAGCTGGTCATTGTCGTCGTCCAAGTGTCCCACTTGCCCCACGACAGGCAAAATGGGTCGTGGCACCAGGCATGAAGCGCGAGTAGAGGATACAGAATTTATAGGTGCAGGCCATGCAGAGGTAAACACATAGTATACACACTGGCATGTACAAACAACCAGACTCAGCAGCTGTAGGCCGTTGTGCGGTTGTCACTGCACCTCTGTGACTCTGCATGTAAGGCCAGTGCAAAACTTACAACTGCCCGCGTTGACTGATTCCTGCGAAATCCCTCAGTACTTCTGTATAGCCAGTGCACTTCCTGCAGTTGCTCCCATTGTCCACAACATGTCTCAACTGGTCCGGCCGCAGGATATCATAGCCGTGCAGTGTGAAGTAAGACAGTTCGTGCCAGGGTCCGTCTGTCCTCCCAGAGTCGGTATCACAATGCTGTAGCATTACGCACCCACACAGCTCAGTCAGCATAGAGGCTGTTGTGATGAGGCAGAGTGCACCTGGTAGTGTCCAGCAGAGCAGACGTCACAGACTGCCACAGGAGTGCAGATCATATTGCACCACCAAACACAGCGCGCAGACTGCCATAGAAAGTTTGCCATGGCGACACAGAGGGTTGGGGTAGGGTTCATTATTAAGCTAGGGAGGAGCAGTTGATCCCAGGAAACGACACGTCGTGAGAGACGGCATGTTGTGGACTCCTTTGGCGAGGCAGCGGCACCAGCAACCCATACTCCGGCAGGCAGAACCCCAACGTGTTGTGCGGCCAGGGCGGCTGGGACGAAGCCCATAAAGACATGTCAAAGCTGTCTGACCAAAAGACTGCCCGAGTTGCTGCACTGGTACTCGGTATGTAGTGCCACGGATGTAGGTCACACAGTTTACGACCCTAAATGGTTCGACAAAAGACGCAAACGTGGCGGCATAAGCTCTCGCTCTCGGCTTCATTTGTTGGCTCCCAAAGGCACGATGCGACAGTGACGATCCTGTACAGAAGAGCAGCTGACGGCAGGTCACGTATTGTACAACTTGTTCAGGTCTTTAGCCCACGGGGATCAAGAACAACTAGAAACAACACTGGATCGGGGAACAGTACATCCTAAGGTGGGCTACGGCGGAATGCTCCGGGCCTACACGGACTGACGAAACAATGTGCCATGCAGCATATCACAAGGACTGCTACACACGAATTCAGTCGTGGTGCTCAGCATGCAGAGTGATACAGACGTCGTAGTGCAAATGGAGTTCATGCCAAATTCCCAAATTCTATGGCTCAACAAAAGACATAGGGCAAGCAGAGTATGACATGCTAATGAACAAAGGACTGCTGGGCAACATACAACATAGAATCATGTAAGCGTGCGTGCAACATGCGCCATGCAATGCAGTTCATGCAACAAAGGAAATGTCATGCAGGTGTGCAGCGTCGTGGACCGTGATCGGGAGGCATAGGGGGCAGGTAAAAATGCGGGAAGTATATGGAAGTATAGGAGTAAAGGTGAGTAGGGGCATGTGGTCCAGTCCTGCACTCATGCATGTCGAAAGTTGATCGGAGCTAATCCGCACTGACCTGAAAAGGAGAACTACTCACCATGGTCCCATGCACAGACGCAGTTGCTGCAAAAGGAAGAGCCAGACATAGATACACAACAACAAAGATATAGGTATTCAAAGAACCTAGGAATGCATCCCTCACTCAGCGCATGTGCATGAACGTTGGACCCTGCTGTTGCTGGGCACCGAGAACGTCGTCCTCTGGCACCAACAGACGTCGGCCGTTCGACAATACGACCGTTGCCCATACAGGGCTCTGTGTGCTTCCCCTTTGGGGAATCCTGCTCGACAAGTCGATCACTGCCGGCATAGCTCCCGGAGTCGTGGGCATAGGTTGCGGTCCCATATCGACGGACGACGATGGTCCCGCACTCCTCGGCTGCTGTGGTTGGGTCGTCGTCGGCTTGTCGTGCAGCTCTTTCACCAGCTCTGACAGCTCGGCGACAGCCTCCGAGGTGGCGCCCGTTTGGGCTGCAAGCTCCTTGGTCAGGTCCAAGAGCTCACGGGTGCCGTTGCTGTCTGTAGGGGTTGCACCAACAGCCGCCCCCATGTTCGCCACCGTCGCCTGGAGCGAGTCCAGACTTGCGTTAAGTCGCCTTGTTAGCCCCATCTGGTCACGACCCATCTGGCCCACTTCGCCTTGCACCTTGTTGACGTCCTGTTGGACACCAGCGATACGCTCCCTGACTGCATGCTCCACGCGGTCCGTGTAGGTGCCGATCTTCGCAGGGATGCCATCCATTTTGGTGATAATCCCCTCCAGCTTGGCGACCAGCACCTCGAGGCGAGCCTGACTGGTGTCCCAGTTGCCGAACTTAGTCGCTAAGTCGCTGTTCAGGAGGTCCAGCCGTGCTTTAACATTTGTCTCAAGCACATCCACCGCTGTCTTCAGGTTGGTATCCAAAGTCTGGAAGCGCGCCTGCTCCGTCTTGTTGGCTTGCACCGCTGATTGTGCCAGGTTCTGCAGAAGTTGCTTGTTGGCGTCCAGCGCTGCCTGAGTGTCCTTGTGTTTGTCTTGGACCTGCCGCAACAAGCCGTTTGCTTGCTTCTGCAGAATCTCTTCGAAGTCCGTGTAGCGGGATGCCAACAGTTTTTCCACTCCAACAAGGAGTGAATCAACCGACTTTGTAACATCGCCCATCACTGTCGACGGCAGCATGCCACCCTTTGCCTCCAGAGCTTCATCCATAACTGACCTCACCGTGGAGATGGCCAGGTTGATGGAGTCCGTGGTGGTGCTGTCTGGAGCTCCTTGCGCAGGATGCGGGAGCGCTTGCATGGCCGTCTGTAGTAGTGACGGAAGCACCTGCTGGAGAATAGGCGGCAGCTCCTGATGCAGCAAGGCCGGTAGCACCGCATGCATCTGCTCTGCCAGAGGAGACTGCAGTACCGTGGGAGCAGCGTTCACGGGCCCAGCCACATCAGTTGGCGCCGAAGGGACGCGGCGGCGAAGATGCATCATGCCAGCAAGTATGATGAGCGCCAAGGACAGCCACACAGAGGGCCCCGACTGGACAGCTACCAGCAGTGCCGGCACATCCATAGCCCACATACTCACCTGGTCATGAGTGCGATGCAGGAAAGAATCCATGGCAGCGCGGGCGTAGGAGTAAGTCGCGAAGAGGCACAGTCAGAACCGACACAGGCTGCCTTGTGGACTCCCTGGCGCAAACCCGTCATCCTACTGCCGAACGTCGAAACATGGCTGCCTTTCGGACTTCCTCGTGGAAACGCTCACCGTTAACTCACTGCCGAATGCCAGTGTATGCTGCAACAGAAATCGAGCAGTTTACTGCAAGCAGAGTCCTCCGTGTCTCACTGCATGAAAGAATGCCATGAAACTATGTGTTACACACAGTCTCGGCACGTCATGTGGCTACGCGAGAGAGACTGTACAGGCTCATGTAGGCAGGAAACTCCTCACTGAACAGGTTCAACCAAAAGGAATCGGGACTGTACTCTGCGAAAATACGAATTCTTACCAAATTCAAGGTATGGTAAAATATGTTTCATGCGCATGTATCATGCAAAGCCGATGCCTGAAAGGTTACGCAAGGTACCAGGATCATGCACGGCAAATCTGAAAAGTATAAGCAATACACCATGCATCCATGCAATTGCGTTAGTCTATACAAATAACAAATTCCGCCTCTCCATCAATGCGTGCAAGACCTGCTGCATCTTCTGCTTCCTCATCTGATGACATGCATATGTGCAGCGGGCTCGTGGTGACCTTAAGCTGACCCAGGCGCCAAGATGGGGGTGCACCCAAGTGGGCTGGTCGTTTCCCGAAGCGATGCAGGTCCGTTTGGACCAGTCCAGTACCCCTCCAGAGGGAGAGGGCACTGGTAGCCTCTGCATCAGGCCCTGGCCGTCGGAATCCCAAACAGTGCAGCTGCCGCAGGTCCTCCGGTGACAGGCATTGCCAGCCAGCTGGGACCCAGCCAATGAGCATGATCCTGCCCTCCCCCTCAGTGAAAGGAGCGTGCCAGAGCTTACTGGCGCTTAACCGGTATCTGTGCCCGCGATAGACACAGCCCAGCCTCGTTTTCCCATCCTGGCATCGCCGGGGAATCTTGCCTTCAGGATGCTCAATCCAAGTGCCGCCGAGGCTCTCATCTGAGACATTACACAAGAGACTAGGCAAAGTGGAGTTCTGAAGGTCCTTGTGGGGCTCCATGCTTTTGTCCAGTGCCAAACTGATCGCAAGGAAAGAGTCTCCCGGAAACTCTTGTGACAGAAAGCGAGTAAGCAGCTTCGTCAGCTCAGGGTAGTCTCTGGTGTGTTTGCGAATGCCACCTTTAACACGGACGTAAGCGCCCAGGAAGACCTCCGTTCCAAACTCACGGAAGATGGACTTGCAGAGGTGACGTATCTCGGGTCTCCCGGCTTCACCCTGGTTATTGAGTGCATAAGCCTCATGTTCCAGGGGCTGAGCACAGTGATCATCAAGGCTGGCCATGGTCAATACTGCAGCATACAGCAGGGCACTAGACGGAGGCTGTACGAGCAAAACGCCTCTAGAACTACCCATTGCACTTTTGCAAGTACACCATCGCGCTCAGGCCCTCGATTCACTGAGGAGGGTCTCGACTGAGGCACTCACCGGCACTGATACTGCATCCCTACTGCCTAAGGTGTGGCGTGGGCGCATTAAGCGGCCGCCCTGCCCCCCCCCCCCCCCCCCCCCCCCTCCTCTCTGAATCTCCCGACCATATTTGCAGCAAGACGGGACAGCAAGTAGCAGTGCAGAGGGCATGATGGGGTGGGGTTACCATTTCAGCAATGCGTGCACAGCTGTGTGTAGCTCCCTTGCACCTGCACAGAAGTAGGCTTGCGAGAACCCGGGATCGTGCACAAGGTACTGCGTGTGCAGAGGTACTTGACCTACTGAATGCAGAGAGCGGATCCACGGCGAATCAGTTGCTAACTTGGGGGGCAAGGAAAGTACCTGAGCTCCCTGTCTGTCAAGCAGGTTGAGTGCCTCAGTGCACCTCGGCAACAATGTAAGAGGGACATGACCATGAAAGACCGCGCGAGTGAGGAGTTCATAGGGAAGAAACACCTCAGCTTGGAAGCCATGTAGTTGCAAAATGCAGTGCATCTTAAAGGCGACCCTAATGGCCTCGGCGGAAAGACCTTGGTGAGAGCAGTGTGTCGACTGCGAGTGTACAAAGAAGGAGAGCCTAGGCCTCCTACCATCTGCAACCAGGAGCATAACCTGATTTTGCTCTGCTTTGGCCCACACGAATGGATGCCCCAGGCTGCCGGGTTTGACAACATGAACCGCCCCTGTGTAGGGTTGTTCAGTAAAGTCCTTGGCTGGCCTCAGATAGCAGTCCAAGATGCCCTTAGCCGAACGAACAACAAGTAGCTGCCGATCGAGTAGGTATTCTAGACTAGCAGGGCTTTCTTCCTGTTGGTCAGGCAGCCAATGTTGGAGCCATCTGCTGCAGTGGTCTCGCCACTGGGTCCTGTCCTGTGCCATGTCTTCCCAGTAGGGGATCTCCGCTGCCCACGGCCATGTTGCGTAAATTTTTTGGACCCTCCGAATCAACAAATCCGAGATCCAGCCAGCGCGAACCAATCCCCGAGGTCTGACATGTTTGCTGCTACACTGGCGTAACACCCGTGCCATGGGTTGGAGTTCGGTAGTCCTGGCCAAGTGCCCAAGATAGCTCCACTGTCTTGAGAGCCAAACTCGTCTCCAATCCGGACCTTTGTTGAGTCTACAGAGGATCTTAATGGCTCGTCTCCTACTTATGACATTGTCGACCCATGACATCAGCACATCCGTTGGCATCCTGAACAGCGACAGCAAATACGTCGTCTTAGCAGCTTCCAGCTTTCTGAGTGTGGCCTTAGTAGGCAGCATGAGGGGGGCCGCCCAGGCCCATTTGGATGTTATGTACGTATCAAAGATACGAAGACGGACGTGTGCGGGCGCCGCTCCAGAATCCATCAGGCGCTTGAATGCGAAGTAAGAGTTACTAGTGCGGCGCATCAAGTAGCTGATGATGCCATGCGGCTGGGGGCTGTGCATGAGGGGAACTCCCAAGAAGCGAAGTTGGGACTCCGTTACAAGGGGTGTCGGGTTGCCACGTAGCCATACGCCCGGAGACCAGCCGTCATGTGATTCCATAACTCTGGTCTTATCAGGGTTGACGGACAGCCCAATTGCCTGAAGCGAGTCCACAAGCTGTTGGAGTTTCTGCTGGAGCATCTGAGGAGATTCTGCAAACACCAAAACATCATCCGCATACGTAATGAAGTGTGGGAGACCTAAGTCAGGCGCTCCTCCAAATGGATATAGCGCATCAAAGTGGGCGCTTAGGGGCCCCAGAAAGAAATCGACCACCCGAGAAAAGACATCGGCACTGTACGATGTGCCTTGCATCAGCCCCCTACCAAGTGATACCTTGTGAGTGCGTCCTCCTAAGGCAAGCTCAACACTAGTCCCCTCTAGGAGACGAAACAACACATGGCACTCTCTACAGGGAGCGCAGTGCATGAGCCAGCGATGCACTGCCTGGATGTCCAAACTGTCAAAAGCCGCTTTGATGTCCATCTTTGCGACAAAAGCGCGGCCCTTAGTGTGTCGGAGAAGCTGCAGAGCAGCTTGCGCCGCCATGACCCCATCCGCAACCTGCACTCCCTTGCGGCAGCCTATCTGGTGTCCTGAATGTGCTGGGGCAGCCGAGTGGACTCTCCTCATGACGACTTTGGAGAAGATGCGGCCTAACACGGGGGTGAGGCAAATAGGACGGAGGTCTTTGGGCTGAGAAGGTCGTGCCGTTTTAGGGAGCAAGACGATTTTGCCCCGCTTCCAACTGATCGGTATTTCAATCTCTCCTGAGAGAAGCCGAGAGAAGTACCCAGGTATGCGGTCGAGCTTATCCATAGACAGGAGGTGCAGAAAGCCCTCGTACGTGGTGCCATCAAGGCCCGCGCTAACCCCTTTGTGAGTCCCTTTGAGGGCTTCAATGATCTCCTTTCGTGTGCAAGGGGTCACAGGGCATCCCCCGTGCCGATCCTCAAGCTGTTGGAGGTGATCCGATGTCAGAGGGGGGCCTTGACGTGCAAATTTAGCATCGTAGAAGCTGAAAAGTTCCTTGGTCGACTTGTCAACACCACCTGCTCGATGAATGTAAGACCCCTCTGTCTGCGTGCCTGCAGCGCTGGCCCTCATATGCGCTATCGCTCTAGCATTGCCCGACTGAGCCTCCTTCAGCAAGTGTGTCTTATGATCGGCCTTGGCTTGAATACGAAGCTGGTGGATCTCCTGCATCAGAGCTGCACGGGCATCAGAGTCCTTAGACGCCTTACGCCTAGCAATGAGTTCACGAACGTGATCGGGATCAGTGTACCGAAGTGATCGAGGCCGAGTACTGACCCCTGGGGCCCTAAAAGCGCTATTGATGGTTTCATCGTCCCATCGGTCATGCGGCGCAAGTTCATTCCAGAGCAGGTCACCAGCCACAAGCCATTTGCCACAGAGAGTCCTTGGGGGTCTCACCCCGCGACACCGAGCTGTCTTACCGCGAAAAGTGATGTGCATAACGATGGCGTCATGATCAGATGGCAGTGCTATTCGCAAATCTTCTCGTTTTTCGAAGCTGACCTCTGCGCCTCGGACTTGATGGAGAAAGAAGTCGATGGGCGACGCAGATCCTCTGGCATGCCACGTGTTGCCTAAAGGCGGAGAAGGTTGCAAGCCTGTTTGGAAAAGGAATTCTCGATAATGCATCATTCCCTCAAATTCATCAAATTCCCCATGCACATTTTGATTCAGGTCGTGTCCAATAATGACATTGTGTTCCCAGCGAAGTTGAGAATGTTGCGCCAGGAGATTGCCAATGCCCGCTTCCCAAGCCTCTGCTGCATCATCCCTCTGTTGGTGTGGGAAGTGCAGACAGGACAAGAGCCAGGGGCTGCCTAGCATGTCGCCTGAGACCAGGACACCGAAGTCATGCACATGCACATGCGACAGTTTGAATTCCAGATCCAAAGCCACAGCGATGGCCGAACATCTGTGTGAAAGTTTAGGATTGACAACAAACAGCTGGTACTCTTTGCCCGCAACCGTCTCTGTTGTAGTCTTACTGGCTCCTTCAGCTAAGCCACGGACGTCTCCCAGTTCCTGGAAGAACAATACATCTGCAGGTACCTCCAAGCCTATAAGGAGTGTGGACACATGTTGTGTACCTTTACCATGCAGATTCCAAGTCGTGCATGTGATACGTTCATGAGAGCTCTCATGATTCAACAGATTTGCCTCCCTCCCAACCTCCTAGTGTGCGTCAAAATGTCGCAGCACTGCCTCTCCGTCCACTCCAAGAATGGCAGAAACCTGATCGACGTCTAGGAACCATCCCGACTCGTTACCCTTGGCATCAACAAGCATCAGTGTGTTCATGCCTCTATCCTTGGTGTCGACATGGTGGAGGATCTGGACTGAGTTAGCCCAGACCCGCCCACGCCAGTCCATGTCAACCAGGTGTTCGCCAAGAAATCGCTTACAGAGGTCTCTAGTGGACAAGATGGCCCTAATTTTTGCCCGTTCGGGGGCTGATCTGTTGCGGGCTGCCCAGAAGTTGCACCCTTCCTGGCCCTTGACCTGGGAGGCGTACTGTAGGTGCTTGATGCTTTGAACCAAAACCCCTTGAAGCTTGCGCTGTTTCCAAATGTCTTGTTCGGGGTAGTTAATGTCTATTCTGCAAAAACTACAGCGAACATACGGAATGTAGATTCTGCCCAGAAGGGGGGTGCCCTTGATCTGCTCAAAGATGGTTTGTACATCAAGCTCAATGTCTTGTCTTCGAGACTCTCGCCATCCTCCGATGACGATTTGCAGCTCGTCCACTTCCTGAGCGGCCCCCGGCATAGGTCCTCGGTAACGAGGGGTCGTAGCCCCTGCACCTCGACCCCCTTGCTGTGACGGTGCCGGGCTGACACTTCTAGTCGGGGGAGCGGATTTAAGATGTTGAACTTCCCGTTCAAGTTCTCGCAGCTCCTGTTGCATGCGCTGAAGAGCAGAGTCCTGCGCGTCGGCACGCCGAACTATATCCTCTTGGCCTTGTCCTAAGTGCTGGATGCCTTCCCTGAGCTGCTGGAGTTGTGCTGCCGAGGAGTCCATCTGAGCAGACATATGTTTCTGCGACAGAGAGATGTCCCTAAGGTCCGTGCGGAGGCTCGCCAGCCACGGAGGCTCAGATGTCAACTGGTAGTGTTCAGTCTCCCTAGTGGCCCCCACCGCAGGTGCCGACTCCGCTGGTACAGACTGTCCATGAAACAGTGGTGGGTGGTGACCAAAGGTAGGGGCAACGGGTGTGGTAGGGTGAAGTGGTTTCGTCCTAGCACGTTTCTCCGGGCTAAGGTTTCGATCAGGTAACCCAGCCGTGGGTATGTTCTTCACACTTTCCAAACTGCCGTTGTCAGGCACAGGTGGTCTATGGGTGCCCG